AGGAAGGAAAGAAGAAAGGAGGGAGGGAAGGAGAGAGGGAGGGAGGGAGGGAGGGAGGGAGGGAGGGAGGGAGGGAGGAAAGAAGACGGTCAACTTAGCCCAGCTCAATTCAGCCAAGCCTGAGGCAGAGACCTCTCTGTCATCACACATATCCCAGAAGCTGAGTCTGGAGAATTGCAAGTTCAAGGCCTACCTTGGAAACTTAGCAAGGCCCTATCTCGAAAGGGTGGAAAGAGCACTAGGCCGTGGCTCAGTGGCAGAGAGGACCTGCCCTGTGTGTGAGAGTCTGTGTTTTAGCCACGGCATAGCAGTGAGAAAAGGCTCTGCAGGAGCAGGGGACTGGGCCCCATTCCTATGCAGAACACTAGCCTCAGTGGTCCCTGTAGACAAAGCTGTGACGCTACATTTAGCCACAGTCTCCACCACTCCTTACAGTTCTATATCTGTCTGTCTATGTCCCTCACCTGGCCCAGAGCCACAGCTCCCAGCTTCCACCAGTTGTATTCAGGCTGGGAAAGCCTAGCACCTACAGAACCCATGCAGCCTCATCCTGGCCCCGCCCTTCTCCTTCCCGTCTGCTCTCATTAGTACCATCATCACCATTACCATCACCACCATCATCACCACCATCATCACCACCATTATTGACATCGTCACCACCATCATCATCACCACCACCACCACCATCACCACCATCATCACCAACATCATCACCACATCCTTCATCCGTCATCATCATCACCATCATCACCATCATTACCACCATTATCACCACCATCATCACCACCATCATCACCACCATCATCATCACCACCATCATCACCACGTCCTTCATCTGTCATCATCATTGGTCCCCTGGGTTCTAGGTCCTGCCAGGAATACTGTCTTCTGCCAGGACGCACACACTTAAGTCTGAGCAGCCCAGATCTTGGCATCACCTTTGTCCTGACACTACATGTGACCGACGGACACAGTTCCCCAGACCACACCAACATCCGCATCGCCCCTGCAGAACCCAGCCCACCTGATGCTCCACCCCGGGGAAGCGTTCCTCCACACGCTGCTGCAGCTTCTTAAAGGCCAGGCGCAGGGCTAGCGGGCAGCGCCCTATAGAGCTCACAATGGCATCCATGATGGACCCCAGATATCCGGTCAGCAGCCCCAGGCTGGTCTCCCGCACCTGCTCCTCCGTGGGTGTGCCCTTGAAGGAGATCCTCCTGTAGGGAGCAAGCAGAACCTTCAGTCAGAGCGCCACACCTGCTGCCTCAGAACCCCCAGCCTCCATGGTGCCTCCCCTCACACCAGACTTCCTGCTGGAGTGAACTCTGGGGCAGAGTCCCAGCTCAAAGCCTTCATAGTGGCCATTCCTGTGTCCTAAAACATGTTGACATGCAGGTAAGTGTCACCTCCTCAGAATGATCATCACCCCCTCTCACTTCATAACTGCATGCTGTAGCTCTAGGTGTCTTCAGCTTGGCCATGTCCGATGCCTTGGCACATGCAATCCCTACCGCCTGGAGCCCTCAAGCCAGAAGTTCTCAGTCCCTGTATCCAATCATGGCCCCTGGCATTGCCCCACGTGGTCCTAATGGTAATTCACAAGTTGAGTATCTATGCCTCCCATTTAACAGGCATGGGAACTGAGGCCCATCAATATGACTTTGCAAGCAGGTGGCAGACCTGAGATTAGAAGTCAGGACCAACTCCACTATCTGTCTGCAATTCTACCCCACCCAGGTTCCCAATGTCCCATCGCCCTTAAGTGCCACTGAGTCTCCAGTGGTCTCCAGCTATACCCTGGGAGTTTCACAGACAACTCTGTCCGGTTTGGGGCCTGGGTTCAAATTCTCACTTTACAGTTTCCCAGTTGTGTGACCTTGGGCAGGCACCTCCCCTCACTGAGGTTCAGTAAAGAGGGTGCTGAAGCCTGCGTCTGAGGTGGTCAAGAGGTGTGGGTCCTAACAGATGGCCTGCATCTAGCTCTAAGGGTTTCGTGGAAGCCAGCCCCCTGACTTTGGCAGAGAAGATTCTGGAAAGAAAGGAGGAGGAGTCCATGGAGGTGTGGAGTGGCTTTTAGTCATAGCCTAGCTTGCCTCCAGTCTCACAGAAGGTTCCCAGGATCCATTCTGCAGATGACCCCATGTGGGACTCCATCATCTCCCAACATTCCCCTGTTCTGTAGGTCACTTCCAAAACCCTTAAGTGCCCTCAACACTCCCAAGTCACAGGATATGGTAGAGGCAGAGGCAGCATTTGGGCTCCCCCAGAGCAGCCTGGGCTGCCACAGTACACACACGTGTCCCTAGGCAGGCGGCAGCCAGCACAGAGAAGCCCCAGGCAGCTGCAAATGATAAGGGACATCTGGAGGCCTGAAGCACCCCCACTTCGCTCACCGGGAGCGGTTCAGGTCCATCTTGCAAGGGTCCAACTCCATATATTTCTTCTCCTCGAAGACACGGCTGATCACCGGCCTCAGGACCTCGTGCAGGTAGCGCATGCCCACGAGCTGGGGGCAGGGGCCACACCAAGTGGCTAAGGGTGGCAGAAAGTGCCCTGGGCTGGGGCAGGGGGTGTGCAGGGAGATTTCAGAGCCAGGCCAGTCGTGTCCAAGGGTGCCGCCCAGGGCTGAAGCCAGACACCTGCCACCAGCACCCAGCTCAGCCATCTAGGGCCACTTGAGGCCAGCAGGCTCTGGGGACCGAGTGAGCAGGAGGAGGAAGCCACATGCACCCAGACATGCCAGCTCCCACTCACCTTCATGAACTGTTCCATCGACTTGGATGCCAAGGAGTTAGAACGGAAGAGGGTGTTGGGGTCATCTGGGAGGACAGGGGGTGTGTTTGCTGGTGTGGGGTGGGGGCTGGACCCAGTTCATCCCACTCACTCAAAGTGGAGATACGATTCAGCCTCAAGAATCAGGGAGAACCCAAAAACGTCAACTCTATTCATCGCCCAGAGGCCCAGAGTGGTTTGTCAAGCTGCCTGAGGCCACACAGCACCCTCCCGGGTTCACGGCATAGATACCCCAACATATAAACATCCTCTAAGGGATCTCACTTCTCCCTGGAGATCCTCTGCAGACCTGTCCTTGGGGAAGAGCGTTTGTGTGTGTGGGAAACTCACTAGTCCGAGCCACCTCACGTCTTGTGAGGTAGTCTAGAAAGGACCCGGCCAGGCCCTGGCCCAGGAAGAGCTTCACCAGCTTGGTGGCAAGGTCTTGACGACAGTCCCCAGAGGCCAGTTCCTCCAGCACAGCCAGGGGGCTGGTGGTGTCCTCCTGAGCAGGGACAAGAGAGCCAACAGGTGACCTGAGGCCCCAAAGCCGACGAGCTGGCCCTGGTTCTGCAGGCGGGGAGCTACACCCTGGACCCAAAACCCAGGTGGCAGCACCTGCCACCACACCCACCTCGGCCGGCCCCTGTACTGACTCCAGAAGCAGATCCATGAGAGGCTGGTAGCACTGGGAAGGCAGGACGCGGTCCTCAGTGAGACGCACCTTCAACCGCAGGGCGCCCAGGCTTCCCCTACACATAGCAGACCATAGAGAAGGAGACGTGAATGCAGGCTAGCCCAAAGCAGGAGACATGAGCATGGGAGGGGCAAGGGACACAGGGTAAGGGCAGAGGAGGGCAGTGGGGACAAAAGTGGATAGGGAGGGGGCTGGAGAGATGACTCAGAGGTTAAGTGCACTGGCTGCTCTTCCAGAGGGCCTGAGTTCAGTTCCCAGCAACCACATGGTGGCTCATAACAGTCTAGGATGAGATCTGGTGCCCTCTTCTGGTGCGGATAGGGAGAAAGAGACCCCAGACTGTGTGGAAAAACCACAGTCGAGGCCATGACCGGGTGCACAAACGCTCACACAGGACAGGCAGAACAGCAAGTGTAGGCAGGGCAGTAAGATGTGGGTCTCGTGGACACAAGCAGCACAGTCAGTTATGTGAACAGTGTGGACGGGAACAACCAGGAAAAGACTGGTGGGGCCAGGGCGCTCTGTGGTCTGTGTGCACAGCACACGTGTGCGCAGACAGTGTTAGCTACTCAGGACGGCGTTAGAGCTTCTTGCCTAGCACAGCCAAGGCCCTGGGATCAGTTCCTGACACCACACCATAAAGAAAGGAGTATGGCCAGGAAGGCAGGTGTAAAGGAGCCCAACATTCTTACGCTGGTTATGGGAGCCTGTCTATGGTCAGATGACTGGGCCAAGGGGTGCTGTGTGGGCCAGTAAGAACATCCCAGGGACATGTGACTAGGGCCAGAGGGACAGGGTGGGCTGGTGCCAGCACCCAGGATAACCAGCTGAGGTGGTGCCCCTCCCTAGGCACCCACATTTACCCAGAATCCTCAGCTCTAGGAAAGGGCAGGAGGCGGAACCAGCCGTTGGGTGGCTTCTGTTGAAGGGTCTGTGGGGTGAACTCCACCTGTGGGGGACACAGAGACCTCAGCTGGGGGCCCTGTCCTGCCTGATACAGGGCCCACCCAGCCCTGGAGGGAGAGTTTGGCCTGCTATCCACAGATGCCATGTGGTCAGCCAGGGTCCAGTTCTTCCTCTCTCTCAAGCCAGGGCACTTAGGGCCTCTAGAGGACACTTAATTTACAATTGAGAAAAGTTAAGGCGCCAGGCGGCAGTGGCGCACACCTTTAATCCCAGCACTCGGGAGGCAGGGGCAAGCAGAGCTCTGGGTGTTCAAGGCCAGCCTGGTCTACAGAGTGAGTTCCAGGATAGCCAGAGCTACACAGAGAAACCCTGTATTGAAAGAACAAAAAGTAAAACAGAGATGGGAAAAAGCTAAGGCTTGGAGAGACGGCTCACCCTGGGTCACATGGTGAACACAGTGCCACTGCCGTAGCCACAGCCTCAGATGAGCCTGGGGCCGTGTTCCCAGAGAAGAGCTAAAAGCCACAGGGCTTCAGAAAACCCACTTCCACTGTTCCAGACGTCATTTGCATTGGGGGATCATGACTGTCAGCCTCACAGGGTGGTGACAGTTAGGTCAATGCAGATGACAGGCACCGGCATACCCAGGAGCCGTGGGCCTACCCCGTGACCTCAGAGAGGTCCTTGCCTCCTTCACGGCCTGTTTTCTTGCCCGCCTCATGAAGATAGAGACTCTACTACGCAGGCTGGCCAATGGTCCTTGCGACAGCTTGAACGCCCACCCTCAGGCCCCAATCTTACCTGTCTGCTCACGGGAGGCAATGGGGAGCCACAGAGAGCGTTTATTAGTGGGGGGACACTCACCATGCCCAGGAAGTCGTTCTTGCCCACCATGTCCCAATCCCAGAGCTCCACTCGCAGCGGGGAAGCGGTCCCCCGCGTCTCCCGCAGCTCCAGCACCTCATCCCAGTGTGGGAAGCGGGTCTTCTTGATTGTCTGAGGGCGCAGAGGGCTGTGAGCAGCAGAGGTGACTGACGCCACCCACTGAGGGTGCCACACTGCTGCCTGCCTGCTCACCGAGGTTTCCAGACTATGGCTGCCCCAAAACACACGCGCGAATGGGTCTGACGTGCCAGAGATGTCCCGAGGGGCCAGGTCCCTGGGGACAGAGGAAAAGAAGGGGTATGTGGTTACAGACCCTCAAGGACCCAGACCCAAGGCAAGCCTAGGAAAGAGAGTTCATACTAGATCATTCTAATGGCAAGGTTCTGTTACCAGGGCAACAAGCCTATCCATCACAGGGGCCCAAGTCAGGTCCATCACTGCACCCATGCAAACCCGGCAGTTTCTAAACACAAAACTCATGGGAAGCAGAAGATTTCCTGATTACCCCTGATTTCCATGAAGGGAAACTGAGGCACAAAAAGATCAGACTGTATCACAACACTTAGCAAGGACAATGGAAATGAAAGAATGCCTCAATCTCCCCAGATGCCCTACATGGGAAGCTAGAGGCATGAATTCAAAACATGACCCTGCTGGGTGGCATTAGAAAAAGTCCCCTCCCCTTCCTGAGGCTTAGTCCAGAAAAGAAGGACAATAACAGACCAAGTTCACAGGGCCAAGGGTCCAACAAGATGACACAGAAAAGTTACTTAGTGTAGCACTTGGCTAAGCTCACTTATTCATTCAACAAACACACATGCCCACACCTTGCTTGGGAACAAAGAAAAAAGCAGGAGATACAGACATCCTGCCTGTGGTTACCATGACAACTCGAAGCCTCACCTGAGTCAGCTTCCCCATCCCCCTTCTAGCAGGCCCCCAAATCCAGGAACACCCCACCACCACCAGGGGCTGTTTCTTCCTCCCGCTTGCTTCCCAGCCTCGCTGGGCATCCAAAGCCTTTGGTTTCCTAGGAACCAATACAGTTGCTAAGCGACAGCAATCGGTCCCTCTCCTGCGTGCAAGGATCCTGTACAGCCTAGTGTCTGGGGAGGGGGTCATGGGCAGAAAAGCTGAGCTCAGACCCCTGAACACAATCTGTTTTCTGGTTCCCTTCCTTCTTGGGTCATTCCTCATCCATGCTTCTCCCATATCCAGCTGGGGCCAAGGCTGAGACCTGAATCCAGAGCTGTCAGGAGACGTTCAGAGAGGGCAAGAAATGGTCTTATGGTCACACAGCAAGCTAGAAACACGGATTGTCCTTAATATGTGCGGGCAGAACCTAAGAGTGAAGGTTGCCGGGGGGGGGGGAGGCGGGGGACAGAAAGGCAGGATGTCGAGAGGAAGAAGAGGATAGAGAAGCTGAAGGATGTGAGGGGGGGCTGAGGAGCTGAAGGGGCTGGAGACAGAGGGAGGGAGGCAGAGGGAAGACGGATGAGGCTGCCTCTGGGTTTTACGGATTCTGTGTCTGTTGACTTCCTTCAGGCTCTCCTCCATCACCCCCCACACACACCCCGTAAGACCCCAGTGAGACCCCAGGTCGAGCCAATAAGAATTGACCCTGGGATGTTCTGTAAAAGTGAGGTTCTTGGTCAGTTGTACAAGCAAAGTTGGTAGGTCACCAGCCTCAGGCCATGAGGTTTATTTTGCCCCCCACCCCCCTTGGAGACACTGCCTGAAATCATCCTCCTAGGTCCATCTCGCCTGAGGCCACCTGCCTTTAGGGAGCCAATGATTAAGACTTTGCCCAAGAAGTAACGGTGTCTTTGTATGTATGATGTGTGTGTATGTCTCTGTCTGTGTGTGTGACTGTGTGTGTAGCTGTGGCTGTATGTCTGACTATGTGTATATGTGTGTCTGTCTGTGACTGTGTGTGTCTGTGACAATGTATGTATGTGTCTGTTTAACCGTATGCATTTGTATGTGTGTGATTGCATGTTTATGTACATCTGTGAGGATCACAGACAATTTTAAAGAGTTGGTTTTCTCATTCCGCTATGGGTTCCAGGGATCAAACTCAGGTCATCAGGCTTGAGTGGCAAGTGATTTAGCTACACACACACTCATCTACCTCCACACACACTCATCTACCTCCACACACACTCATCTACCCACACACAGTCATCTACCCCCACACTCATCTATCCACACACTCATCTACACACACACACACTCATCTGTCTCTACACACACTCATCTACCCCTGGGTTAAGATCTTGTTTTTGACAACTGTAGTGGCCAAAACATTTAATTCCAGCATTTGAGAGGCAGAGGCAGGAGGATCTCTGTGAGTTCAAAGCCAGCCTGTTCTACATAGAGAGACGAGTGCTGGGATTAGACATGTGAACAACCATGCAGTTTATGTGGTGCTGCAGATAGAATCCAGGGCCTGTGCGCGCCAGGCAAGCCACATCCCTAGCCTCCTTGCTCATTTTCAGAGCCTCCCACACCTCACCCAGAGCAAGAATACCTGGCCTGTCTCACGTGGCAGCGGAGGCATCGACCCCGAGCGTCCTCCAGCAGCTGCACAGCCAGGTAGACCTCGCCCTGTACCTCGGCGTCTGGATCCACTCGGCTCAGGTTGATCCAGCTGTCAATCCCTGCAGAGCACACATGGTGTTTAGGAAGCAGGCTTTGTGTTGGCTCAGAACTGCCACTGATAACAACCATGCATGACGTGGTGGCTTCTCATGCGGGACCTCTGGTTCAGTTTGCGATCAGCCCTATGTCAGAGGAGGAAACTGAAGCACACACACACACCTTCCGTCACATTTTGAATGTATTGCTTATTGACTTCTGGACCCAATGCAGCCCAATCTCTCTTGGCAAACATCATTCCTTCCCCTGTTTCCATACAGGGTCTCATTATGTATCCCAGGCTAGACCAGAACTTCTGTTCCTCCCACCTCCACCTCCTGAGTGCAACCAGGGGCCAGCACCAAGGCCACCATGCCTGGCTCTACGCTTTAACCTCCTCTTGCCCTTTTATGTCTTCAAACATCTGACTTTTCAAAGCACTTGTAACTGTGGCTAGTGTTACAAATTTGACAGACTCTAAAATCACCTGGAAGATAGCCCTCCAGGCACACCTGGGAAGGATTGGCTGGATCAAGGTTAGCCCCTGAGGACACCCGCGGGGGATTTTCTTGATTACTTAACTGGTACACCATCGCAATGTGGGCAGAACCATTCCCTAGGCTGGAATCCTGGCCCCTACAAGATGAGATCGAGGGGAGCCCCAGATGTCATTCCTCTCTGCTTCCTGACTGGATGTGACCAGCTCCCTCAGCTCCTCATGCCTCGATTTCCCTGCCACAATGAACTCTGAACTCCCTCCCTCAAGCCACCTCTATCAGAGTCACAGGAAAAGAAAAGTCCTGAATTCCAGCCAGGGCTACACTATGAGACCCTGTCCCAAACGCACAAACAAACACCCGTCGGTGGCTCCCTGCTGACGCCAGAAGAAAGCCCAGAATCAGAATCTCTGACACTGGAATTACAGACCCTTCTAAGCCACGCGTGGGTGCTGAGCACTGACCTCTCACCTCTAGAAGAACAGTGCTCCCTCGTCATTGCTGAAACATCTCTGCAGCCCCTGCAGCTCTAATGCAATAACTAGCAAACATGCCGTTGGCACTCAGTGATGGAGCCATTGGCTTGATCCCAGCACTGAGGAGGATGATGATGAGGAGGAGGAGGAGGAGGATGTACAAGTGAGGTCTCACTCTCTAGCCCAGGCTAGCCTCCTGAATGCTGTGATGACAGGCATGCCCCCCCCCAAATCCAGCTTGGGAAGTCACTTTCATCGCCGTCACCCTCCTTGCTGGCATTCCCAGTGGTAAGATGTGTATGTGGTCTCCCTCCACCCCACCAAGATAAGGACAGTGTCCCCCCCTGCCCAGCACCCACAGGCGCCCTTTCTTTTGGCTCTGGAAACTCATGGGGTCTGTGATGTAATAAAAAGAATACATGCAAGAATGTATGGTTTGATTCAGCGCATAAACTTCCAGGAGTTTCTCTGACTGGCGGGGCCCTGAACGTGTGACACCATGAATAAGTACAGGGCTGCTCACTGCAACTGCTTGAGCTGGGAACACACTGCCCACACCCCAGATGCTTCACCAGGGAACTAACGAAGGGCACGATGGGACATTACAGCAGAATGCAGTGATTGCAGAACTCAGGAGTACTGAAGTCCGAAAGGTCTAAAAGGAACACTCTGGCTGCTAGGGACAGCGGCACATGCCTGCCAGTCCGATACTGGGAGGCTGAGACTGGACTGTCAGGCATTACAGCCAGCCTGGGGTACCTTGTCTCAAAGTGCACAGTGAAGGGGGCTGGAGAGACAGCTCACGTCCTCTGCTCTTCCAGAAGCTCTGGGTTCGGTTCCCAGCACCCACACGGAGACTCACAGCCTTCTGTAACTCCAGTTCCACGGGATCCAGTGCCCTCTTCTGGCCTCTACAGGCACTGCATACATGCGGTGCACTTGCAGACAAACATGCAAAACGCTCGTGCATATAAAATAAAAATAAATCCAAATTTAAAAATACACGATGAGGTGGAAAAAAGGCAACTAGGGGAAAACGAGTGTAACAGGCTACCATGGGCTGAGGAAACCCATGATCACAAGCGCTCTCTCTCTCTCTCTCTCTCTCTCTCTCTCTCTCTCTCTCTCTCCACACACACACACACACACACACACACACACACACACACACACACAGACTGCAACATGGTACGCTCAAACCCTGAACCCAAACAACCTTAATCCCACGTCCTGGTTGTCACAAAACCTTTGTGACCACAAGCAAACCACTGAACCCTGTGGCCCTCAGCACTGACACAGGACAAACGTAAGGGAATAAAGGTCCCCACCTCAGAGGAGGGCTCGGTACGCACTCACAGTGTGGCAGTGGGGCAGGCCCTACTATTCTTCCTACTTTTCATGTAAATAAAAGCACTGCAGGGATGAGGTGCAACTTAGAGGCAGAGCGCTTGCGAGACCCTGGTTCATCACAAGCATGCATCAGGCAAACATAAAGTGTCGGGGAGGACATGAGGAGACTGACCGCAGCCAGGCATGAGAGTGTGCATCGGAACACCTACATGAAAAAAACTGAGGAACGGGAGTCACAACTTGGAGACTATCTAGGGCTTGATCGAGAGAACCTGTCTCAAAAAGACGAAACTGAAGCTGCTGGACCCCAGGTCTGAGAAAACGAATTAGCTGCTCCATAAATGAACTGAACTACAAATTAAAGAGACAGGATACAAAAGACACATCCACTGGGCAGTGGTGGTGCACGCCTTTAATCCCAGCACTTAGGAGGCAGAGGTAGGTGGATCTCTGTGAGTTCAATGCCAGCCTGGTCTACAAAGCAAGTTCCATGGCAACCAGAGCTGCTACACAGAGAAACTCTGTCTTGAAAAAAAATGAAAAAAGGAGGGGGAATCTTCCCCCTTCAGGCTCTGAGGCCACTCCCTCAGCCCCACTCCCTCAGCCCTTGCAAGGTCCCTGTAGGTCAGATCATCTTTTTCTCTCCCTCCAGTCAGGATCTGCTCACCTCGAGGGTCAGCTGTGATGGCTTCCTTGCTCAGGGAGATCTTCCCAATGGTGTCGTCGTGTCTGTGGGAAGGTGGTAGGAGAAGGTCAGACCAGGGCCAGCACTCTCCCAGAGAGCTGCGGGGACAAGTGTCGGGGGTTGGAGGAAGCACACTTCTTCTTGGTGTGTAGATTGGCGTGTGACTTGGGATCCCCGTGCACACCCCACCCACCCACCACACACCCAACGGTGTCCTCATCCAGCACGTAGAAGGCCAGGTGATGGAAGTCCAACGGCAGGTGCACAGTGTACTCCTCCCCCCAAAAGGGGCTCAGGCTCCTCCAAATGGTAGCTGTCCTGCAAGAGGGGTGCTGGGCTAGCGCCTCATACAGTGGGTGACCTGGGGATCCCCACAAACAAAGTTAGAGGCACACACACACACACAAACATGACAGACATAGCTGTGCACACGCTCCTAGAATCTACACACACCCCCATCCCAGGAATACAGCAAGTGCACTCAGACCCATGAGCTCAGACAGAGAAGCACACCCGGACCCAATGTGCACACATGCCAGCGATGCAGACAAATGCAGGTACGGCTGCAGGGAGTCTAAATGTACATGCATGCATGCAGGCACACATGCACATAGGCATGTCCCCAAGACACAACTGAAGAGGTTCACAAGTAGACCAAAACCCACACAGAGAAGCCCATGAAAACATATACACACATACAATCAGAAACATACCTAGACAGGCCGAGGAAGCCAGAGACACAGGAAGTCACACATCCACACAGACACAGATACACACGAACAACCTCAGAAACATCTAGAAACCTGTTTATAAATATAGACACAGTATCCCAGATAGACACAAAGACATGCTTACATAGCAACACAGAACCCACCAGTCACCAATACCTAGTGCTACGTTCATGCGTTCCCTCCCTACCCACTACCCAAACTGCAGACATCATTTGTGATTGGGATGAACTCAGTGATGCCTGGGAAGAGTGCAGGGCTCCCCAGGCAAATTAATCAGGTGAAAGAGAACTGGGCAGGGAAGACGAGCATCCCAGATGGCTGGAACCACATGTGTAAAGGCCCTGAGGCAAGCGTGAGCAGGGCCAGTCAGAACACACGGGGCTTCACGGCACCCAGAAAGTCAGGGGACGCTAGGGTCAAGTCAAAGCTGGACACAGGCACACGTACATATGTCCCACATCTGGGCCTGGCACCTTGACAGGGCCCCCACCGTGGCTGCTCCCAGGAACAAAGACTTTACACTGCTCAGTGAAGTCCCAGCCAAGCCCAGCATGCAAAGCTTGCTTCCTTCTGTTGGTTTTGTGCAGCCCAGAGAAGGGAGAAGAGCTGCCTTGGAGGCGTACAGAACCTTGGGGGTTAGTATCTTCTACCAGGGCAAACACAGAGGGAGCCATGGGAGGGGTCAGCCTTCTTAGGGGCTCCCCACCCCCAGTTCCCAGTCCATCTGGACCAGAACTAGTGCCAGGAGCATCCTGAATCTTGTCGTCTCCATAGAAACCAAGGCTTCAGCCACCCGCCCACCACCCCCTCAGGTCTACAGGGGCTGAGAGCTGTCCCTTGACCTGAGGGGGAAGAGAAGCCCAGCTCAGCTGATATCCCATCAGGACTCAGCGCCCACAGATATCCACACACCCTCCTTTGCACTCACACCTGAGACACACACACACACACACACATCTCTGGAATGCACGGGAGTCCTATGGACTTGTACACCCACATAGACGCTCACACGTGGTCACACCAGTTCTGTGGCACCCCCAGATAGGCAGGCTGGTACGCACACGTGCACACACACATACATACACACACACACACACATTCCCACTTGAACATTGGTGTGAATACGACACACCAAGACACCCGCAGCACCCAGAGGCCCGGAGTCAGCCAAACTAGCCAAGCATGAGATGCCCACACTCCCCCCGCCAACAGGCCTTTGGTGGTGGCTGAGTCAGCCCCAGGGAGCCAGAGATATCACGGGTCCCCAGACAGGATATTGGCCAGTTGACACAGGCTGCAGGGTTTTACCCAAGAGGCCAGGGATAATGTAGCCTCCTTGAAGCCTGAAAGACAACCCCTCCCGACCCCACCCCGTGCTGACTACGCACCTGGCCACAACCTCGTCATCAACTTTCACCAGGCAATAGGGGTCACTGCTCCCAGACCTGTGGGAAGAGGGGGTCAAGGAAGCTGTTGGAAGGTGCAACTCTGTTGGGAGCGTAAATGCTAGGCAGGGTGAGGCCCAGAGAGGGAAGGGGACTTACACTGGATCACACAGCAACTCCTACAAAAAGGCAAGCCCTTAGGGAGCAGCAGCAGGTTGTATCGTTGCTGCCTGGACCAGTCACCTGCCACCCACAGGCAGTATAAGCCTGCATGTCCATCCTGCTCTAGGACTTTGGTTTCGTTACTATGACTCCAACAGACATTAACACTCACCCAGCCACACAAGAGGGGGCAGGAGAGGGTCAAAGAGAGGTGTGGAGGAGGGATCGTGGGTTACCCTGAACTCCCCGACACAGACAGGACCCTAATGCCAACTTCTGAGCTAAACACTGTGCTCCTCAGCCTGCCCTGACCCCCATCCCCAGCAGGAAGGACTTGCAGGCACACACCAGGGTCCAGGACCTCAAAACTGAACCCATAGAGATGGGTATAGGGCTGAATAGGGGCTCAGTGGTAAAGTGTTTGCCGACCATGTTCAAACCCTGGGTCCCATGCCCAGCAGGAAAAAACAAACAAAAGCAAATCCCAAAAGACAAGTGCTATTTCCCCCTCACAAAACCCTGGGCCCTAGGCCAATCAAAGGCAGCCCCGCCTACCTCCCCTTTATAATAAGAGTCACCAGTAATCCCAGGTCACCTCCCCTTTATGAGAGTAGCCACCAGTAAACTCCAGGCTGCCCACCTGGGTCTCTATTGCCTCACTCCCAAAGCCATCTTCTTGGAAAGGCTGTCTCTCACTGATTTAAAATGACCCTCCAAGCCCTTTGAGATGGGCCACACCCACAGTCCCAGCTCCCTGGAGGCTGAGGCAGAAAATTTGCCTGAACCCAGGAGTTCAAGGTTAGCCTGGGCAGAAAGTGAGAATATGGCATAGATAGATAGATAGATAGATAGATAGATAGATAGATAGATAGATAGATAGATACATACATACATACATACATACATACATACATACATAGATGATAGATAGAAGATAGATGATAGAGAGAGAATAGATGAGAGAGAGAGAGAGAGAGAGAGAGAGAGAGAGAGAGAGAGAGAGAGAGAGAGATCTTTTCTGGGTCTAAATCATCTTGCACAGTTTACCTGTGTGTTTGTGTCTGCCTCTCCCTTCCTACAGCCCCTGAACTGTAACCTCCTTGGGTTGCTGGCTGTACCTACTTCTCCACAGGTCTGAGGCTGTTCCTGTAGGGAAGGTTCAGGAAATGGATGTGCGGAGCACAGGCTCTGGAGGAGGGTGGGGTGGATGGTATAGACGTAAATTCAGCTCGGGTCTCCTAGCCATGTCCCCTCTGCTCCTCCAGCTGCCTTCTCCCAGTCACCCGTCCACTCAGTCACAGGGAACAGGGATGTTGGCTGCAACCTGGGCCTTTGGCTGGCTGGCTGAGTCATTCCCTATGCCTCAGTTTCCCTCCAAGACTTCTCCACCTCATTCTTCAGCTTCCCCAGTGTAGACGTGGCCCAGACTGACTGTAATCGGTTAGCATGCAGGCTTGGAGATACAGCCTTTCTCAAGAAACCTGGCTAACTCCAGGTCGCTCAAGGGAGTAAGGGTCAACACATCTACTTCTGGGCCATGACGCATATGGTCTTATCAGGCTCCTATCAGGTAGGGGCCAGGGTGGCAGGCAGGGCTGGCCTCTCCCAGGCCCTGGTCTCTCCAGACTCCCCGGCCTCTCCCATGGCCTCATGACCCTCAGCCATCGCTTCCCTGCTTGGTTCATACATGGAAGCTGTTTGTGTTCATGCATGTGATCTTACAGCCACGGCTGCCTCTCTGGTCCTCAGTTTCTCCATTTGTAAAACAGAGAAACCAGTTGGCACACACAAAGTGTTAAACATGATCCATGTGCATGGTAAGCCCTCAGTGATGACGGGCACAGTTGGCCACCCCCTTAATCTCGAGTGTCAGGCTGAATCTAGGACCTCTGCCTTTAGAAGAAGAAATGAGACAACACCCCAGCTAACACCCCACTCTCAGACAAGGGGACCCCAGCTTATTCTGAGAAGATCTGTTTCGGGAAAGGGATCTGCCCACTAGAGAAACTGAGGCAGGGTGTCCAGTGAGGGCACAGTGATACCTCCTCAGCCTTGCTCTGAGGCATGGCTCAACCCAGGGCTACCTTGGCCAGAAAACTGTAGGAAAGGGGGTAAGATGCAAAAATGAAAACCTAAAGCCCCTTCCAGAAGAAGCAGGGAACCCTTGAGCCTGTATGCTAGCCCCGTGGTAACATCTGCCACTGGCTCATAACTCTCTCCCAAGACTGGTGGACAGCTGGTGAACCAGAGTTCAGTGAGGCAAGAGTCCTGTTTCTGGCCAGGTCCCTTCAGCCAGCCAGCAAGTGCCAGGTCTCCATTCCTGCCCCACAGTTCTGTAATCCCTAATGCTCAAAGACATGTTGATCACGCTGGTGCCATCGCTCCCTGCATTTACTTCAGGTGTGTATTTATTTATGGTAGCGGATGAGGGAGCTAGGGCATTAAGATTACTCTAAACAGCTCCCTTCTGGATACAGCTGCAGTACTGGAGGACAAGGAGGTTCCCAAAATCAAAGGGAGGGGATGCAGACTCTGCAGCTTGGGTAGTTGGGACTTCCACCCAAGCAAAGAAGAACTCTGGGCCCCTTGTCTGCTCACCTCTCCACAGCTGACCCCCTAGCCAGTGTCCTCCACCTGCTCTGCTGGACACGGGATCAAGCAACAGTTTGATCTCCTTCCAGTTCTACACTACCCAGATGGGACACCAAGGGCCAGCAAAAAGGCAGGTTCAAGGTCACTCAGCCCGCCTCCTACTAAGGATGGCAGAACCTGTCTCAGGTGCTGGCACCTTCAGAGCCCCTTTTGGCTCTGGACCAAGCAGGAGGGGGAACCCGCTCCCCCACCCACCCCGTTCTGCTGAGTCAGCACTTGCTGATTCAGCCCTGGAGAAGCAGAGCCAAGAACGGGGCAGAGGAACCAGCGCCCCCAGCCCCATCAGTTGGGGACCCAAAACAGCCCACCATAGGTTTGCAGGTAAAAGATTGGGGGACTCGAGGTTCCGTGTTAGAGTGCAACCTAAACACCTCTGAGGCACGCAAAATCTTGGGGTCCATCTGGACCACAGTCTCTGGGGCTCTATTGGTGATTTCTGGGGAGCCCCGCTGGGGCTCCGTCGTCCGGAGAAGCCCCACCTCCAGCACCTGCTCTAGCTAAGAAGGGATCCTTGGCCCCCCTCCTCGGCTCTAAGAGGACCCGTCCAGAGGTCCCTTCTCCGGCTCTGGAAGACCTACTTAGGGACATCCTAGAACAAAGACACCTTCCTTCCCCAGGGGAGCAGGGCGCGGCACCTGCTAAGCCTGGGTGCCCCCCTCTCACAGGACAGAGAGAGCGGATCCCCAACAGTGGGTCCTAGACAGAGGCCCCCACAACCCTTCCACGCACCCCAGTGGGCACCCCGGGACTCACACATCCTTGGCGGGCAGTGCCCGTCCCTCCACCACGCGAATACTCAACGAGCCGCTCTTGGCCATGGCGCACAGTCCCAAACTTTCCAAGCAAGGAGTCTGCCGAGGTTCCAAAGCTGGACCAGGAGGTGACCCTACATATCACCAGCTCCGGGCCCGGAGCGCTGTCCCTAGGCTCCCACGGGTCCGAGTCCGGGGTGTGACTGGGCTGGATGTGAGGCTGGCAGGGAGAAGAAGTGCTGGATCCCGGGAGGGGACGTACGTCCCGAGCTACAGGTAGCCGTGTGCTGCGCTCCCTCCGGGCAGGTTGAGCCTGGTGTCTGCAGCTTGGGAGGTCCCTCCCGATCCCGCCCCTCCCGCAACTGCCCCGCCCGCCGTGAGTCCCACTCGAGCGCCCCCTGCTGGCACCCCAGCCCGCTGCACCCAGCTGGGGACCCCAGGCAGCTTTGGGGCAGGGGGCAGGGGCCGCGGGCAGTCAGGCAGAGTGGTGGGCTACTACTGAGCTGGCATCGGGCCCTCCAAGAATCGCGTTGTCTCCCACCCGGCCCCAACCCAGCACCTCTCTATGCCTCTGCCACCTCTGCCACCTGCCACCCAGCACCAGCTTCGGGGTCCCGGAACAGTACCCGCGCTGGGCGGCAGGCGGCGCACACTCCCTGGGGGTCTGATGCGAGTGGAGGGAGGGGCCTCGAACATACCCCTGGCATGGGCTCCAATTAAACCCGGAGAGTGTCAGCGGAGGCTCTCACGTCACCGGCTGCCACTGCGGGGGAGGAAGCCGCGCGGCCGCAGGGGGAGGGGAGGCGCGGAGATAACACTGCCAGGGCGACACGATAAGAACCATCTGCAATCCTCGAACTAGTTAACCATGTGCCAGGCACGGCCTGAGCCTTTCGTCGGGATTATCTCAGTTCCGAGCCCTCAGCAACTCTGTGCCGTGTATGCCTTCCATCTGTGGATTAACAACAACAACAAAACAAAAAAAGGGGGGGGGACAAAACAAAACAAAAAACTGGGGTTCTGAGAGGTGGGGTCACTTGCCAGAAGTCTCCTTCCTGGGTTTGAATTCTGACTCTGCCATTTGGTGGATTTGGTAGCTGTGTGGTCTTGGATGAGTCACTCAACCTCTCTGTACCTTGGTTTGTTTTTCTCATCTGTTCAGTGAGGGTGACACGTGTCTCATTCACAGGGTTTAGAGAGGATTAAGTGAGATACTCCTATACGGGTGACAGAGCAGGGGTAGGCACGAGGTATTCAGTATTGTTACTGTTGTTCCTCCAGGTGTGACTTAAATGCCACATCTCCTCGCAAGGCTTTCAGGATGCCCTTCCACCCCAAACAAAGCTCTTTTTCCTCTTTGCTCTGTTCCCAAAATGCTTCCTGCTTTTGCAAGCTTTAAATGAGTTCAGTTGACAGGAGACTTGTCCCAGGGTAGACACGGTAGTTTCCTTCCTCCTGGAGTCTGCGGCTTACCTAACTGGAGAGTGTTTAGAAAGGCTGGCAAGGGCCTTGTGCAGCTGGCCGTCTTGGGGCGGGCACCCATGGGAGTGCAGAATGAGGTCACCTGACACTGCCCAGACTGGCAGGACTGGGAGCACTTGCCCGGTCCCTGCAGTGCCTACCCAACCCCGGGAGCATCTGCATAGTCCCTGTAGTACCTGCTCAACCCTGGGAGCACCTGCCCGGCCCTGGGAGCACCTGCCTAGCCTCGGGAGGACCTGCCCAGTCCCTGCAGCACCTATCTAGCTCCAGGAGCACATGCCCAGCCCCAGGAGCACCTACCCAGCCTCAGGAACAGGAGCAGCCTAGTGGTCTGAATTCCCTCCCTGTTCCACCCCACAACCAGCACCCAGCCCAGATGGTAGTGGATGGGCACCCTAAGATTCTCTCCCAGTGGGTTGCTGGGAACAGCAAAGCAGCCAGACCCTCAGAGGGATGCCAGGGGTGACCCAGGGCAGAGTCCAGAGCTGTAGCATCCTCCCTATTTCTGCCACCACCTGCCACCATCTACAGCGATCACTCCAATCTTTCTAAGGAGGAAGAAAACTTGCCATGTGCCCAGAGTGGTTCCCCAGTACCCCCCCACACACACACACCTGGGCAGAAGACACTTCTACCTAGAATACTTGAGCCCTGGAGTTACAGAGACCCCAGACAAGTTATCCAAGTCCTCGGGGACCCTCAAGGAACCCTGACTCCCATAACATAATGGCCCAACAGTCACACAGCCATCATTAATCCATATTCCAAAGCTAAACAGGAAGCCCCCACTCCAGGCCGGCAGGGGGAGCTGTCAGGTCCAGCTAGGTCTCCAAGGAGTCAGCTCTGTCACCCACCCCCTTGACACCAGGTCCTCTGGAACAGTGGCCACACTCTCTAAATATTCTACATGACCCCCCACCCCCAGCCACCTCCTGTTCTAAGAAACTAAACTAAAACCAACAGGGAGCTAGAGTCCTGCTAGACAACCCCTATCCAGGGACCAAAGAAGAAAAGACAAGAGGGAGGGTGTGTGACTCACTGGGAGCCACCAGCCAGGCAGAGAGAGGAGGCCCTGGCAGCCATCAGATAAGCATGAGACCCAATCATGTACCCTCACATGGGCAGTATGAGGCCAGCTGTTGCAAACATTCCAAGCACACGGTAAGCGTTCACGGTACACCCCACAATCGCCTCAAAGACAAACACACAGTCCTTGTCAGCTCTCTGTGTTGTTTAGCATGGATTGCTGCGGACAGCGGACAGCAGGCATGGAGACTTAGATGAAGCCCAGGCATCCTAGCCCACACTTGCAATGCCAGCACAGGAAGCTGAGGCAAGGGGACCGTGAAGTCCGGTTAGCCTGGGTTACAAAGACAAACTGTATCCTTAAAAAAAAATGTCAGTTGGAGAGTGCTTGCCTAGTATGTGCATAGAGCCCTGCGCTCCTCTTCTCCGGCCCACAATGTCACACAGCTGTTAACACCAGCCCTTGGAAGACAGGCAGGAGGATTAGAAGTGTGAGCTTATCTCTGGCTACTTGGGGAATTCAAAGGCAGCCTGGGCTATGCCTCTAAATAAATAAAGTCTTGCCGGGCAATGGTGGCACCTGCCTTTGATCCCAGCACTTGGGAGGCAGAGGCAGGCGGATCTCTGCGAGTTTGAGGACAGCCTGGTCTACAGAGCGAGTTCCAAGGCTACACTGAGAAACCCTGTCTCAAAAAACAATAACAAAAGAAATTCTATAAAGCCTTAGGTGGGGAAGGTGCCTGCTCACGGTTTAGAGAATGGGTCTTGCTATGAATGCCAGCAATGGGTGCTCTCAGACAGGTGAGTTGCCCTCCCAATGCCCTCCGTGTCTTCCTGTTAACAGCACCCATCCATTGGAGGTTTGAGGGCATAGAGGAAGTGTAGGTTTCAGCCCACCTGGTACCCAGCAAGGGCCCACTAGGAGTAAGGGTCCTCATGGAGAATCCCAGCTCACTCAGGAGCCTGGAAGCCTCACCTGGCTTCACCCCGAGGTCAGGCAGGTAGAGTGCCAGGCCCAGCCCAGAATTCCAGGGATGAACGGAGTGCCGCTGCATTCCAGCTAGCACAAGGAAGTGTTCGTTCTGGATTGTAGATCTCGGGGAATCTGGGGTTTGGGGGTTGGCTCTTTTAATCCAGACAGAGAGATCCCAAGATCAGAGATCTGACTGCCCCTGAAGGCTCACTGCTCAGATCTGACTGACACCCCCACCTCACCCTGGAAGTGTGACATGCTCTGCCGGGGCCCGGGAGAACTCAGACACTGAGATGAGCATCCCTACCCTAACATCACGATGGGGGTCCAGGCAGGCAGGGCAGTAGTACCACAGAGGACTCCCTTGATCATGAGATCTAATTGAACCACCTTTGGAAGCCCACCTTTCCCACATCAAACGGTGAAGGGGAGACTTACTCCAGGGAAGCTGGCAGCCGACACATTGGGCTTGGGTTTGGGTTACAGATGTAGACTCTCACTATGAAGGCCAGGCTGACCTTGACCTTGAACTCACAGTACTTGGGTTTGGTTTAGAGATATAGACTCTCACTACGAAGGCCAGGCTAATCTTTTTTTTTTTTTTTTTTTTTTTTTTTTTGGTTTTTTGAGACAGGGTTTCTCTGTGGTTTTGGAGCCTATCCTGGAACTAGCTCTTGTAGACCAGGCTGGCCTCGAACTCACAGAGATCCGCCTGCCTCTGCCTCCCGAGTGCTGGGATTAAAGGCGTGTGCCATCATCGCCCGGCTTCACCAGGTTAATCTTGAACTCACAGTACTCTTGCCTCAACTGCCCCAGCGTTGGGATCCTAGAGTTGAGATTCTGACTGTTTATGATGTGAAGTCCCTTTTCCAGCCTATCACTGGGTCTGGGACTCCTGAATTCACCCTGAAGGTTTTTCCCAAGTTGGGTGTGAAGGCTACAGGTCTGTAACCTCAGCAAGTTGGAGGCAGAGGCTGTAATTCAGGGATAACCTCAGCTATGTAACAACTTCTGGGTCAGCCTAGGCTACAGGCAACATTGTGAGCAAAAAGAAACAAACCTTTTTCCTCCACCCAGATTTTGCCTTTGCCATCAAGTCCTGCCCGCCCAAGGGAAGCCTTTCTATCCACCCACACCCCCATCCAGTTACTATGTCTTCAGCTTCAACTACTTGTGGTGCAGTTGAGTAAGGCTTCTGAAGGGTGGGGCCAAAGAGTTCAGCAGCCAGGCCAATGGAACAATATACAGCTATTAAAAAGGAGTTTCCAGGCTGGGAGCTGGCTCGACCAAAAAAGGGCGTGCTGCCCAAACAGGAGTGGGGATCCCCAGCACACTTGTAAAAAGTCAGCTGTAGTTGAGCCTGCCTGGAACCCCAGTGTTGGGAGGGATGTAGGGGGGGAGATAGGTGGGTCCCGAGGACTCACTGGCCAGCCCAGTCTAAATGACTCAAAGAGTTCTGGACTCAATGAAAAGAGCTTTGTCTCAAGAAAAATAAGAGAGAGAAAAACACAAGCAGACACCTGATGCTTGTACAGGCGACTGTGCGCGCGCGCGCACACACACACACATTCTTTTTTATTTATAGGGGTCTGACACAATATCTTTTAGCAGGGCGACTATCAGTTTGTGGCTAGCCTGGGCTACATCTCGAGAACCTGTTTGAAAGAGAAAAAAAAGCCAGGCGGTGGTGGTGCACGCCTTTAATTTCAGCACTCGGAGACAGAAGCAGGCAGATCTCTGTGAGTTCAAGGCCAGCCTGGTCTTCAAGAGCCAGTTCCAGGACAGGCTCCAAAGCTACGGAGAAATCCTATCATGAAATCCAGAAGAAAAGAAAAAAAGAAAAAGAAAA